AGAACAGTAAAACGCATACATCAACCGTGACATATGTAACAAAGTAATCGCATTGGATTACTGAGAGAGAGAGAGAGACAGAAAAAATCAAACTAATTTACATGAAATTCTTTTTATCCGAAGTACTTATTGATTTTCTCAGGGTCAAGTATGAAGTATTGATTTCATATACCCTGTGTTATTTTGAACTGAGCAAAAAGGTAAAGAACACATCCTAACGTAATACATAATCACAATACTCGATAATGCACTGACTGGAGATATTGTAACCAATAAGTCAATAAAACACCAATGCAGCCAACTTTTTTCAAGAAAAGAAAAGAGAATTTCACAAGCGTAAACGTAACAAACTAGCAAGCATGAATCACTTCGGATGAATGCATTAGCATTTATTCTACTGACCCATATATAAATACCAATCAATACACTGAACTATCTAGCATTGGTATGTGATTGACATAACCAATGAATACACTGGAAGTCACTAACTTGTCCACAATATCTGTAACTATACTCGAGCAGTAGATAAATCAGGCAATTGAACACATTTTGAAAGTAGGAAGGTTTTCAAGTATCCAGGATACTCATAGAGAAAAGATTAGTCAGTCAATTTTACGAACCAGACCTGGTAAAATGTTTGTCAATATACGGGCATGGTGGATGCAGTCAACGACAACCCACCCGACATAACTAAGAAACCATCGACGTTGCCACACATCATATCAGTAACATCCAGTGAAAACGCACTCAGATGAAGGATACAAAAATGAAGAAGCAAGTAGGCGAACGTTACACAGTAGTAATAAGAGAGCCAGGAGAAGTGAGACAATTATCAATTTCGCCATAGCGAAGGGGATGAGGTTTGGATACACTTAAAGTTGTCACAACTAGTCTGAGCTATATCTCCCAAACAACTAAGATCCCGATTCTGGTTGTCACATTTCTTTCCATGATTCAGACGAACAGCTAATGACTTCAGGGATTGATGCTATGTTTAAGTCTGACAAACTATAAGCCTCTTCGATCCTGAACCCACTTTAGCTAACCTTGTGCGTGGAGGAAAGACTTCCGCAACACATGATGACAACCTGAGTTGGTGGTGGTTCACAACCTCATCCAATGACTTTTCTCTTTGTCATAAGACTATACACCTGGCTTCTACATTACTCACGTGGTGACACCGAAACACGGCCTATGTTAAGAAGGTAACGGTGGTCGAACACCTGTAGCCTTGCCTTCTGCTGTCCTCTACCTTTTATAATCATTTCCAACAGACATTTTGTAGAACAGAACTAATTGCAGTCGAATGTACTTGACCCCTATCGGACAATCAACTAGGGTTAGGGTTAGTATGAGCTCCTGTAGATCTGGACCTTGTTGGCAGCAGGAAATAGGCGATAGTAATTCCTGTCTATGATCAACTAGACGACTAGGGCGCGGAGTACATATTTATGGGGGAGTTGGGTGAGCATTAACCTGATCATTACAGTACTTTTAATTCTGAGGAAAGCTGGGGTGATATTAAGTGTGCTGTAGAAACAGTGGTGAAGACAGTTTTTAACCCACACTCGAAGGTTAACAGACATCATTGGAATTATGCAACATCAGTCGAAATGATTGATGCGAGAAGACTGATTCCAGCTGGTTCTGATCACCATAAAGAGCCGAAAGAAGTTAGACGTAAGTTGACCAAGAGTCTTGGCGCCTATAGCGAGTAGTGGTGGCTGACGAGAGCGAGAGAGATGGAGAAGGTATCAGTGTTGGGTAAAACTCGGCAACTATTTAGGATTATTAAGGATACCTGCAAGAGGAAGACTATGGTGAGTGGAACCACCACCGAAAAGAATGGGAAGTTGATAACCTGCCAGGACAGGCGGCTAGAAGGGTGCGCAGAACACTTTTAGGCACAGTTCAACTGGCCTTCGGTAATGGTTGAGTAACCTGACACCCAGCCGGAACCTGCATGCGATGTATATGTCAGTCCTCTAATCTAACTCTCCTTGAAGTTGAGGAAGCTGTATCGAATCTGAAACGATGCAAAGTAGCAGGACCTGACTGTTTTCCACCTGAAGTTTTCAATGATGGAGGTATGAAATTGCTAATTAAAGTGATAGAGGTATTAGGTAGTGTATGGAAATCAGAGGTAGTGACGTCATACTGGTGTAGTCTAGTGATCATATCACTGATGCTCTCTGTAAGCGCTTGATTTTGTCTTCCTGAAGTCGAACTAATGGACGTTTCCGTAGGTACGTACGACTTCACAGGATTAACGTACTCCCTGGAGGTTTTGTGGTTGAGAACGCAGACAAGATGTAGGGTCTTGTGGATGCACTGATTAGATATCTGAACATGTTTCGTTAGAATTCGCTCTTCTGTTGTCAAATATATGATTATGGTCGAAAACTGGTTTGCATATACTCCTAATTAATTATAGGTTGTGAAATGGTGACATGTGTGGTTCACTCTCTCTACTTGAGGAGTTGCAGCAGCTTGCCGAACGACCTGGGTGTTCATGAAATCTCCGCTTCGACGCAGAAGTCTTGTTTGGCGTTCGTCACCTGTGGCGTCGACTGGCAAGATATCCGACTATCTATCAAAGGACGAGTATAATGTGCTTCAGTGTGTTCTATTTTGTGTTTTTTTGAGAGATAACCGTTAAAAGTAAGATACTTAAAGTGATTACAGGGTTTTGATCACAGATGGCTTCCTTGCATTGCTCGCGTTTGGTGGAACCGCCATGTGAGTAATCTTGAAGTTAGTCGAAGGGTATCAGGCAAGTCGATTGAGGAGGTTGTGAACTTTCGTCGTCTGAAATGTCTTTGACATGTACTACAAGTGCCAAGTCACCGTCTGGCTCTATATGCCATGTTCATGGAAGATGGATTAGTCTGACATTGGCCATCCCAAAACATAGTATGAGTCGGTGAATTCCATGACTGCTGATTTGAGCTGTGTTGGGAGATTTAGACTATCTGAAACCATAGTAATCAGTGGTTGAGAACCCTTGGTGACACGGCTGAAAATCAGTCGCAATGGCGCAGATGCATCCACTAAAGAGTGTCTGTTAGCCACTTCAACTGTTTCTCAAAGTGTTTCCAACCCCCTATCGTTCCAGTTTTCTCTCCTACGAGTGTGTTACAGACTCATCGTTCTCCGCCACTATTTTACTGACCCTTTTGCTGCAGTTTGCTTGATGAGTCAGAATACCTGCCAGTTGAAATGGCTAAAAGACACTGTTTGGTCACCTGTCATCTTATCACCTCGTGAGACAATACCTTCAATCCTCACAAACGTTGAGGAGATTGTAATTAACTTGAAAGAAAGAAGGGTGACATGGCTAGGCGAACTAGTACTGAAAGAATTCAACAGGGGTGGTCGATAATTACTAGTTTGACTAAAGTTTCAGCTAACTTACGAGGAATTGTCTCTTTATAACCGCAGCGGAATCTGATTGATAAACATGGTGTCTAAGATTGTATGTTTGCACTTTTTCGATACCATGGTGGATGTATGTTAAAGAAATCCCACAGAAATCGTTGAGTTTTGCAAACAGGTCTTAACGTATCCGAGTTGTATTGTTTATTGTCGTTAATGGGCGAAATCTCTGCACGCATTCGAATAATGTAATCGTCCTTTTAACTAACTGTAGCTGTTCTAACGGTATCCAAGTGCTTAACGTAACTTTCATGTACTGCGCTGGACTTCGCCTTATTTTGCTTGTTGGCTGTGAAGCATCGCAACTAGAGATAGAGAGCATAAGAAGTCTTCAATTGTTTGTACACCATTTCTATCGTTGCAAAGTCCATCTGTTGTTGGATCAGCACGCAGAAATCAAACAGGGTATTTTAGCCGATGGGAAATTCATTCAATGAGGTTGTGAATTTTCATCGCTGGGTTATGCGCTTCGCATGCCTAGTCACCTCACTATACTTTGGTTAGGGACGTTTTAACATGGAATTGTTAGAGATTGCCATGCTAAAAAGTAGCATGAGTCCTTGAAGTCTGAATGTTAGTCTGAACCGTGTAGCTTCATTTCCACTTTCAGATTTGGGTGAATATAACAACTGGTGTCGGTGGTTGGAGATGCTATGTGATTTGTTCTGGTTTCCGTCTGAGTGGCATACATGCATCCACAGATTATATTTGTAATCATCTCATATTTTGTTGTTGGTTTTGATCTCTTCTCCCTTTTCCTTTACCCTTCTACTGGTGTTGATGACATTGTTTTTCTTTATTTTGCATCTTTTTACCCTCTTTTGATGTGGGATATGAGGTATGCCAATTTGAACCGTTGCCCAGTAGTGCCATGTCCTGATTTGATAGTTTTTGTCCGATCATAACCAACGAGAAGTATGGCTCATTGTTAGTACATGAACTTGTACCAAATTGATTTCCGTTGTTTACTGGATATGCCTGTGAGAGTGACATGAGCTGATTAAAAGCATCATCACTTGTTGATGACTGTACACAGTGGTTTGTTGTCTTATTTTCTTCGAATCAGTCATAGAGTTTTCTCATAATTATTTGTTTATGCTACTGAGATTTCTGTGATATTGTGCCTAACAGTGGAACATTAGAATAGCATGCTTTTGTCAGAATTCCATGGACTATCAGCAAATAGTAGTGCAAAGGTAGTTCAGTTATCCTTTCAACTGACTGACTATCAGATCCTATTCAATTTAAATTTTGTATATGTTTATTTGCTGAAATAGTTTTATGAAGGCTAATACATTTTTTGGTTATGCAAGTTAAAGCAAGTCGAGTGAGAATTCTTACGCTGATGAGCTAATATCTTCGCTTAGTAGTCATGACCATAAGGTCTCATGGAAAGACACTGTTACTCAATGGGTAAGTTTCATTTCATTCTATGTGACTGGGGTCGACTCCACTTTGTACATATTGAATTGAGTTGTGAGCTAGCTTTTTATATTATCTGGCGCATAAGTTCTGTATCTGTCGTGGAGTAGCGTTTCACTTTTGTTTTGCTTTTTAATGTTAAGACTTAGACCATCAAAGTAGTCGTCATTCTGCACATGGTATGCATTTCACACACTATCAACAAGATCAGTACAACCGTGACTTGATGACTCAGTACGAAATCGACCGAGCTCTGTTTCTCGCCAATCCACCTCCATCAGTCCTGGCTAGCCGTAATCGTGAGAATAGATTAAATGATAATCGACGAGTGGATGTAAAGAACCCTTCCATAAAACAAACAGTATATAATGGATCACGCGCAGATCATGCAGTAGTTAATCGCACGCCTTTGGACCACCAGCGTATGGATAGTTCATTTCGTAGATCTTTCCTGTCAAAATCTACCAAAGAACGGACACCATATAATTTGGAATACGGTAGGCTTTTTAAATTGCCATTAGTATGCCGCTAACATTGTCATATTTATGTGTGATTTTCATTGAGTCAGTGCAATGGTACACTTCTGTAACCAGTTTTTTCTACATCGAAATGGTGTTCATGATTCTATAACTACTATTGAAGAAGTCAGTTTTGTCAGTCTTCTCAAACATTTTTACATAGTGTCTCAACTGAAATTCAGCTATACGGCTTGAAGAAAACTGCTAATTGATTAAGTTTTTAAATGGCAAAGTCACTCTGATCTAGTTATGCATTTGAGGAGACTGTTACAACTAGTAATGATTGGTAGTGCCTAGTAGTGGAATTCAGGACGCGTGTTTCCTCCTACTTAGAACTCGTAAGTCTTGGTGGGAACAGCATCACTCGCTGTAGGGCAGGTATGTCCAGCTGACGGATCCCAAATAAGACGAAACGTGCGTTCTTGATTCCACTGTTAGCCATTATGCATCATAAATATCAGTAATACTGGTTGACAAATAAATACCTTCCAGATGTTTCCGCTTAAAAGTAGGAATTTTTTACCTCAAGATTCAACCAGGAACAAAACAGCGAATAAATTTGAGATATTACGGGACTCCCTCGACTGATAGCTGCTACCTTGACGTGGTGGTCTGGCTTGCATATCACAATGACCCAACGAGCTATGCTGGTAGGACACTTGTTCCCTCGAAGTCCTACCATACCAGAAAGGTCTGTTGGATAGTGGTTAGACGAAAAGCAGTTACCGTTGTAGTGTAAATACTACACTATGATGGGGGTCTGAGGGCGAGGTCGTACTACTGCTAGCCGGATGGGGTATGACAGCAGTAAGGTGTTTCCCTTGGATGACCAACAGTGCCCATGCTGATGTTGCCTTCCCATTAGGAGGGAAGGTTAGAAAAGGTCGGCCCCAAAAATAACACACTCTACCATGCCCCACGGTCTCCTGGGCCGGCGGTATTGGACCATTTGTCGTTTCTTCTCGATCATCCGGCCCCAAAATAACAAGAAAATCAAAATAGTCATACACAAAAGGCTGTGTGTAACAGGTCTCAAGCAGATAGGCTCTGTGGTCACACAAATCTCTATCATGTAACTTCAGAAGAAATAGCGTTCCACGATGTGGGCAGCTGGGAAGTGTAAACCACCTCACAACTCTGCCAGCACTCAAGTTTCTTCAGACTACTATCCACCTTCCCCCTCATTACCTCCTAATCTTCCTTCACGTCTCCCAATTAACAATACTACATCATCCTCAATTTCTCCTAGTTCTGCGTCCTTTGACAACCATCTGAGTTCACAGAACAGCATCCTTGGTTTCCTTAAACCACGCTCCAAATTACATATTGGAGTCTTCAATGTCCACATCCTCCATCAAACTGGTCAACAGGCTTCATTGGGGAAGACTGTAGCAGCTCGGGCCATGGATACGTGCTGTGTTTGTGAGACTCGCATACAGGACCCAAGTGCGGTTATTCACCTAACATCTCCCGGCCAGTCTGGTGAACCCGCAAAATTCACCCTTCGAGTTTCTGGAGTTTCGATAGCTAGTTCTCACAGTCATCCAGGTGTAGGCACAGCATCAAGCACTGGGGCAGAAAGCTCACTACTAGACTGGATCCCAGTTGATAGTCGCCTCTGCGCTATGCGGCTAAACGGCACAGTGAGAACTAAGAGGAATAGTGAAACTCGCCGTTTTCTATTTGTGGTCTCTGCCTAAGCACCCGCTGGCTGCAGTTTGGATGGATTGAAGAACGAGTTCCACCGAGAAACTGTCTAGCCTTCTCTCGAAAGCCAAACCTTCGAACATGGTGGTTGTTGCAGGTAATTTGAACGCACAGGTGTGTAGACTGAGTGAGGCAGAAAGGCACTTAGGTGGCACTTTCGGAATCCCAGCTGAACGTACAGATAACGGTGATCGCCTATTACAACTATGCTCAGATAACCGCCTATTTTTAGCCAGCACCAATTTCAGACATAAAGAAAGGCACTGTCTGACGTGGCGTCCACCGAGCTCAACTCAGCGATGGACACAGATAGACCACATTGCTATTAGTCATCCCTGGAGAGGATCGGTGGAAGACTGCCGCTCCTTCTGGAGTACGTGTTTGGATAGCGATCATGCGTTGGTCCGAGCACGTATATGCCTGCGTCTCAATGGACGTAGAAAAAATTTGGCAACAAAACCACTACGAGTTCTGCTGGACAACGAAAACACCAAAGCCGTGTTCAGTGAGAAGTTGGCTAGGCAGTTATCGGAACAAAAGACTGTCACTCATCCAGAAGAAGCTTGGTGCCATCTTCAGTCTGCAGTAAAGCAGCACTGAAGACTGTAGCCGACTCCAAAATAATGGCTAAAAAGAGCCAGTGGATATCAGCAGCTTCTTCCAAACTAATGGATGCACGTGAATGCATCCCTGCAGGCTCTGAGTACAATGAAGAGCGAGCGCAACTTAAAAATAGACTGACGAAAAGTCTGCGCAACGATCGTGAACAGTGGTGGGCAGCGAAGGCTAAAGAGATGGAAAAGGCAGCGGCGATCGGTAACAGTAGACAGTTATTTAGACTTATTAAGGAGACTGGGGGGAAATGGTCAACAACAGTTAGTGAGGCTATAGCGGAGAAGGACGGATCTGCGATTCACTCGCAGGGAAGACGACTGGAACGATGGGCAGAACACTTGGAGAAGCAGTTTAACTGGCCTCCAGCCACGATTGCGTTGCCCGCTATCCAGTCGGATCCTGAATGGGACATAGAGACAGGCCCCCCAACACTAGAAGAAGTTGAGAAAGCGGTAGGTAGCCTGAAACGAGGAAGGGCAGCAGGACCAGACGGACTACCTGCTGAGGTATACAAGAATGGTGGTGGAGTGCTCTTAGTCAGGTTAACGGAAGTGTTAGCCAGTATATGGGAATCAAATACGATCCCCTCCGACTGGTCTAAGTCACTCATTATCCCAGTCTTCAAGAAAGGCGAGAAGTCCTCTTGTGATAACCACAGAGGAATCAGCCTGACGAACATAGTGTCTGAGTTTTGGAACACAGACACGCTTACCGGCGCCCGACAGTAACTGTATTTCTCGATCTGAAGGCGGCATGCAACTCCGTTGATCGAGATGTCTTATGGCAATGTCTGTCACTGAAAGGTGTGCCTAGTAAGTACATCACCTTATTGAAAGCTCTCTACTCGAACACTTGTGGGCATGTTAGAGCCTATGGCGAGTTGTCCAGGGAGCTATACTCATCGAGTGGTGTCCGTCAAGGATGCCCACTATCCCATTCTTATTTAATTTTATCATAGATATTCTTATGGAGGTTTCCCTCTCGTCACCTAATTACACAGACGTTGACACAATCACAGGTGAATTTTCTTAGATCTAGAATATGCAGATGACATGACATAGTCCTGTTAGGTGAAGACGCTGACAAGATGCAGAGTCTTCTGAACACTTTGAGTGGGAATTTGAGAATGTTTGGGATGCGATTTTCACCACCCAAATGCAAATTTTTGCTCCAGGACTGGTCTTCAGCGGTACCGCGGCTAACAATAGAGAGTGAAGTGGTTGAGTGTGTTGACCACTTCACTTACCTGGGAAGTAGGATCAGTCCTGGTGGGTGAGTTGCCGATGAGATCTCTGCACGGATACAAAAGGCTCGATTGGCTTTTGCCAATTTGCACCACCTATGGCGCCGCCGTGATATCCGTTTGTCTATTAAGGGTCGCGTGTACTGCACAGCAGTCCGGTCTGTTCTATTGTATGGCTATGAAACATGGCCATTGAAAGTGGAAGATATAAAAAGGCTTCATGTGTTTGACCATCGTTGCCTTCGTAGTGTGGGCCGTATTCCGTGGTGTCACCGCACCACGTGAGTGATGCAGAAGTCAGGAGTAGAGTTTTAGGGAGAAGAGGTAAGTCAGTTGACGAGGTTATGAGCCTTCATCGACTGAGATAATTGGGACACGTACTACGTATGCCTAGTCAGTAATACCTGGTCCGAAGTTGATCTGGATGTTTGGATTACAAGACTCCTCCACGACTGGAATTCATGTAATTGCAAGTCTTTGGTATATTATCATGTTTTACTTGATATTGGAAAACATTTGATACTGATGTTTCTGATATGGACATTCATAAGTTTCTGAAGTAATGGTGTCTAAGGTCGACTGACTCTCACTGGGTGACCTACGTAATTATTGATTCACGTATTGACAGACATGGTTGTGTCTTTCAGTAGTTGTAATAACAGTTCAGTAGTAGAATGAGGAATGTAGCCTTTTTTACCAGTTTGTGTACCACAGGCTATCAAGGAGTCAAAATTCAATAAATATAGTGTTTACCATAAGATCTGAATGACGTAAAAATTGCACTCTCCAAGTTGACATTTCTCATAGCTGAGTAGTTTTTCAAGCGTCTAACTGTGGCACCAGTCTACAGTCTTTTGGTCAGGAACTATCTCATTGCTAAGATCGAAGTGTGTGATCTCTGACACAAAAGTGTCATGAACTAGCCAAATACACTACTACTGAATAACTTGAGTAGTTCGAAACCACCCAGGCTGATGCGTAGACTTCGCCAGACATATCAGAATGATCTAAGCATCGGATGGCCGTTTCGCTCATTTGGGGCCGAGTTTATCACTTGAATCTGGCTAGCTGACTTGCAATTTCTAAATCATTTGCAAATTGATCACCCTTTTTTAGTTATATCCGTCCACGCAAGTGATCTGAACTAATTTGATTCTGTGAACTGAATTTGTCCACGTACACTGCTGATGAACTCAGTCTCAAATGAGCGAAACGATTATCTGGTGTTTAGATCACTCTGATCAACAAATCAGCCTGAGTGATTTCTAACTACTCAAGTTGTTCAGCGGTAGCATCTTTCGCCAGTTACAAATCTTATAGTGTTTAAAACTTTGTAGTCTGTTCTGTTAAGATATGGATGCATCCAACGATAAGAGACTTCACAGATGATTACAGTATCCTTATTCGATTGGTCTCAGATGTCTTTTATCTCCTGTTCTCGATAGGATTGTCTCTGCAAATTTTTAACCTGCGTACACACCCAAACCAAACTCCATTATCTCAATTGATATCCAATTTATTGACGAGCTACCAATGATCAGTCGTTCACTAACCCCTCACGCACTCTAGGAGTAAAGGTAAGGCTTAAAGATCCAGACAGTACCGTTTGTTGTTTATTTCACCTTTAAATTGTCCTCTTGTGCTGGAAACAAAAATTTGCATGCATCACTCGTGGGGAACAAGTTGCTCGGCGAAGTAGCTTGACAGTAGTATTCAAATGTTGAAACCATTTTATCGGCCTAGGCATTCAATCCTAAAACCTCACGATTTGAAACCAAATTTTGTCTAACAAAGTTAAGGTAGCCAGTTAGTTTCACTAACCGTCATCCAGAAGTTGTGGTCCACAGCCTGTAGCCTGGTTATGCCTGTTTAATTATGCGATATTTTTTTTAATATGGCGAATTAATGTGTTAATTTATTCCTCAGATAGCATGTATGATTAAAATAAGTAAGACTTGTCTGAGCAACTAAAACATTGCGATGGTGTTTTAAATAAGCATACTTCTTCACAGAACATAGGTTTTTAAACATGTTTATTCAATATTTCATCGCCCTCTTGTCTTTGTTTCCTATCATACCTATTCCATTGTTTCATATTTGATAATATGCGTATTTTTTCAGAAAATGATGGTAGCGAAAGATTTTCAAATAGTTATCGTGGATTTATGCGCCCATTTCGTTCGCAATTTCAAAATGGTTTTCATCGTGGACGGGGTTCAAGACAGCATTGGGGGCATGATGATAGGTTCGAGAATTATCACCACAATATAGGAGTTCGTGGACAAAACTCTCCTCACAATGGTAATACACTTACAATTTGTGCCATTCTTCACTTGGTCGTAAAATCTAATATTTATTCATTCGCTCTTCAGGTTACTAGATAAGAATTTAGCCATTATTTGCGATTCATCAGTACTGGATATCTCACACTAGCACCTAGTAATCTTCCAGCTGATATAAGTTCCTGATGGATACTAACTTCAAATGAACCTTTTATGCAACAAAAAAAAACACTTACTAAGTAGAAGTTAAGACATTCGGTCCAAGTTGCCACACTTCATATCAACACATCAAGTGAGATGAAGGATAGAGAAACGAAGAGAAAAGCAGTCAAAATTGGCAAAAAGTCACCAAATGATGGCAAGGAACAATACGAGAATACTGAAATTCAGTTTAGCAGTTAAGATTAATGTAGTTTATACAGGATTTGTTCAGTGCCGACCAGCAGTTAACTTCGAGAAAGATTTTGATTGTCGTTGCATATAAGTTCATCAATGTTGACTGATCTTCTAGAATTACTGCTTTGCTACAGTTTATCAGTCTCAATACAATCCGTTTTGTATGTTCTGATTGCCAACTTATAAATTCGACCTCATTGCATGCAGCATGTTAGATTGAATTTATCTTCTCTTTACTTAATGAGGTCGGCACAGTTCTCTAGTTGAAAACCTCATGTCCAAGTAATTGTGAATTACGATGTTAAACATGGCCGTTAAAAGTAGAAGATAGGAAGTGGTTACAAGCTTTTGACCATGGGAGTCTTCGTAGCATTACTCACCATGTGCATAATATCGAGGCTAAGTGAAGGGTAACAGGCAAGGACGGGAAGTTAGTCGATGAGGCTGCCAACCTTCAGTGACTGAGGTTGCTGGTACTTATGTTGCCCATTTCGAACCACCGTCTACGTCGACGTGCAATGCCAGCCGAATTAGAACTAGGTCAAAAGAAGGCTCAGAGTGGCCGTACCGAAGCGACACCAGCCGATGTTGTTGCTGACTGTTAATTTTAGCCGTGTAGGGAAGTGTGGATTGTTTGGTTGGGGTCCCTGAGATGATATAAATCAATGAGTGGAGACCCTTGGTGATATGGCTAAAACTCGGTGACAGTAGTGCAGATGTATTCACTCCTTGACATCTTAAGCTTGAATATTTCCAAGTTCTCCCACCTCCCATACATCTACCTTTGTACAGTTTGACGTCAGTCTTTTTCTATCCACTTGTTTTTTGAATGTTGTGAAACTTGGCAACTTGAAGCGATGCATTTCTGTGCGAGGTTCTAAGTGATTTTGTCTGAATTCTGAAATTCCAGTTTTGTTTGGAATTTTACCTAGCTTTTCTTCTATGTTTTCTGTTTATGACAGCTTACCAGAGGTTGCACTTTTCTATAAGTGTTATTTGAAGTACTATTTCGCTTATTATTTTTTATATTTATGTGATCATTTCTACCTTACTTTTTATAAGTTTGATCTCGTTAGCCAATGAATAAATTGAACAGTTATTCGATAACAATTTGGGTTTCTTTTAATTGTATTTACTTACATAAACTGGCATTGAAATAATGATAATAAGATAGATTATACAACTCGATCCGTCACTTGTTTGTTTACTAGGCACTGCACTTGTGTGAAAATTTGTGATACTACCTGATTGCCTAAATCAAAGTAGTTGGAGCGGAATCCTAATCTGAACTGCATTACACAAACATTTAGTTAATAGGCGAACGAACCACAACTCTACTACTACTAGCACTGAATATTTAAGCTGAAGTAAGACAATCTAACTACGAACAAATAGATTGTCTTCACTGAACAGACTTGAGTAAATCCACATTCTATCTCCATGATACATAACTGATTCTGTTAAGTAGATGACAACTGGTTTTCGACCTGACGTAATTGTGTCTCCATTCTAATTTTTTTACCTCATATTGTTAACCCAAAAGAAAATAAGTAAACAAACAGTGTCAAAATAGAACCTTGCAAAGAAGTGCATCGGTTCAAGTTGCCACACTTTACAGCATCATTCAAAGAACAAGTGGATAGAAAAAGACATGTCATATTACACAAAGGTGTATGAACGTTGTGGAAGAATTTTAAAATCAAGGTAATGGAAATCTCCTAGCTTTCAAAGAGTGGATACATCTGCGTTATTATGACCGGCTTTCAGGAGTATTGCCGAAGATCTCCAAACATTGGTTCATACCATCTTGGGGACCCCAAACACTCAATACTCACCTCCTCACAGAGTTAACACCAAGAATCAGAGATCACATCGACCGGTATCATGTTTTGGTCTGGCCGTCCAGAGCCTTCTTCCAACCCAATTCAACTTCTCCTGGTATTGTACCCCGTTGTATGCGGTGGTTTGACATGCACAATACATGTCGAAGCCACTTAAGTCGCTGAAGGTTATCAACTTCATTGGCTATCGTACCTTCTTTTCCTGGTGCCTTTCGCCTAACCTCCATATTACTCACTTGAGTAAAACTACGAAGAGGCCTATGGTCAAAAGCTTGTAGCCGCTTCACATCTATTTTTAACGGCCATATATCATAGCCGTATAACTGGGCGTAGGTTACTGCAGTGCAGCGTACTCCTCCTTTGATAGTCAGTGAGATATCTCATCAGTCAGTGGCAGAGGTGATGCAACTTGGCAGATGCTAAGCTGGCATTCTCTATCCAACCTGAAACTGCTTGTCGCATTATAATGCGATCAGAAAGGTTATTTGTATTTCTGTACATAAGGAATCGTTTGATATCAACCTCATCGTTTCGCATTTTTCTGAGTAACTTATTTAGTCAGTTAGTCTGCTTATCAGTTTTCAAAATTTGATGATGCAAATTATACATAGATGAAAGTCTTGTATTTTGTTTCAGTGTTCTATGCGTAGCCCTTATTACTTAAATTGAAAAGAGACCTTGAAAATTCATCATGAGAATTACTTTTCATAGAACTTGAAGTAAAACATAATATACCTTCACGTGACGAAAACTTTCAGTTTTATGCAATATACACTTGGAAATGTTTTCACCATACGTTCACTAACTAATTATTTCAATTTCTTATGAACTGTGTTATCATATTTAGGACAAAGCAGTATTATGAAAAGATACAGTTTCATCGAACCTTCAGGACTGCACATAAGATGTATTAACTTTACGTCTGACAGTTTTTTTAAGATTAAGCATAACAGTACTAGATGGTTGATTGATTCTTCATTTAATGTTGTCATGCATCAACAAAGATATTTCCGTAATTTGAAGAAAATTCACTTCAAAGATTGGGAAACAAAGTCACTTTTAAGTAGAAAATTTTCCACTCAGTTGGTAAAGTTGCGACTGACCCCTGTCGAGAATACATTAGTAGGTTACCAGATGATAACTAGTGCAGTTGCTAACCCCAAATTGGATGGAATCCAAAGACCGAATTACAAAGCGACTGACTGTGCGTATGTTTCTTCAGTTATATCCAAATCCAAAAACCGTAGTCAATCAAGACAGTCACTTACAAAATATGACTGAAGGGAAATTTTTTTTTACTTCGGGACCATATTTTGACCTGGTAGGATTGATCAAGTTCACTATTGGACTAACGGTTTACAAAGGAAATGTATTTGTAAAATTTCAATGAGGTAGAAAAATAATTTCCTTATGTTTCTATGCCTTCCACAAGGTGGCCAAACTTCAGTTAGTATTTTGGTTTTATCATATATCACATTTAAAATCTGGATATGAATCGCTTCTTTCTTTGAATACTGATCCAGAAGAATTGTACTAAAAACTTCAGTTATTCTACAGATTCGAATTGAAAAACTTCCGCTATTTGTTGCATGGTTCTGCTGCAACTTATAAGTTGATAGTCGTCACGTAGTTATGTATCATCTAACAGATCCAAAACTCGTACAGTTAGCTGTCATAGTTCTTTCTTCAGACCATTTGAAATACACCGTTGGTTTTATAATGTATCCATAATCTTCGTGTGCAGTTTAAAATAGTTGTTAATTTTCAAGTACAAAAGGAATACATGGGCATCTTGTGCTCTGATATTTCTTTTGCTCATTGGAATCCTACTAGTTTTCTTTACGTTTAGCGAGATGACTAGCTTTGAGTTCTTATCAATGTGTTTTTTGATAGAATTATATCGGTTTTAACGCTGTGTAAATGCAGCGTTGCAACAACTTTACATGTTACGCTCGCGTGTTTTTCGCTGTGTGGAGTTGTAGCTCATTAGTTTGGACACTCAATTTGCAATCGATTGATCATGGGTTCGAACACCGCTCGATATACCGAGATCTAGGAAGTCGGGTAGTAAGCATCTTTCACCCTCACAAAATAGGTATGGTTCATTGTCTATTGCATAAACATGCCCTGGGTTGTTAAGCGGATTTCGATTAAGTTCGAATTCCACCTTACCAGTCCTTGTGACGATTGAACGTGAGTAGTCGTTTTCATGTTCTGTTTCAAACAGCATTTTTATGATATCACTCTAACGGTCACTTCAAGTTAATTAAGGAGTTTTAAACTTGTCTTTAGGATGGTTAGCACATCGTAGTAAACTCATTATACACTGAAGCACATCTCCAAAATGAGATAAGTCCGTATCAACCTTCTAACTCCAATCGAATTGTGCTGTTAATATCCTATGATAAATTGCTTACGGAAACTCATTTTCATCTTTTTCTCTACAGGCGACACCAAAACTCGTCAATATTCCGGTGACGAATATATCGATGATTTAACCCCAGAAGATATTGCCAAGTATAAATTAGAGATTAATATGGATGTAAGCTAATTGTTTATGCTCTTGCATGGGAATGTTTTCATTTTCACTTAAAGTATTACTTGAAATGAGACTATAGGGGATTAGAGAGCTGTGCTGTGTTTTGTCAGTTATCCCACTAAGAGTGTATTAACCCCTCTTAAAATTATTAATGATGTTTTTGTGTGATAATATCATCTTTCTAATTGAAATATTTCTCATAATCTGTCCCTAATACTCCATAGATAAATTTAGGAAATCTGTAACTCTTTTAAGCTGTTTACGGTCAGTATTGTTATGTGTATCTCTTCAGTTTTCATGAATAAATCGTGGTGAGTTCACTTTCCATTTTTATTTTTTGATAAAAAAGGATGAAGAATAAGTAACAGCTAGACTATTTTATCCAGCGTCAATGAATGACTTATGTTGTTTGCATTCTTAGCTTTTAAAAAGAGAAACGAGTCTTTTGTCTACCTAAAAGATACTACTATATTGTTTAAATATGGATATTTTTTCTTGTTGAACAATATTTCATTGGCAACTGTAGCACCATTTCTCATCCACTTCTTCTAGCCTCGATTGTGCAAATGGGCAATTTCGTATCACTATCCCTAATGACGTCGCTTGACAAACCGTCAGGTTCTGATGTTCCTTTGGTTCATTACAGGTTAGAAATAACCCTTTCAACTTCGAGGAGAGTTGGAAGATCAAGGTAGTCGTCCCACTCAGATTGAAACTGGATGTTGCTCCACTGAAGCGTTGTTGTGGACCAATTGAGCTGCGCATCAAAGTGTCCAGCTCAATGTTCTAGCTTTGTCCTGAAAGGTTATCAACGCTCTATCCTTTCAATGGTGACTTCACTAACCATCGCTTTCTTTTGTTCGGTTTCCTTGATAAGCCTAAACAGTTGCTGAATGTTACTCAACGCTGATGTCTTCTCCATCTCTCTCACTTTCGCCACCCATCACTGCTCGCGATCGATGTGAGGACTCTCGATCAACTTACGTATAACATGCTTTACTTTTGCTCTTCAGAGCCAGCTGGAATCAGTCTTCTCTTGTCGATCATTCTGGCTGACTTTTTTGGAAATCCAATGACATTTGCTAACCTTCGAGTGTAGATTGCCAACTGTATTTACCTCTGTTTCTACAGCAGACTTAATATCACCCCAGGTCTCAGGATGAGCATTACTGCCGTGTTCAGATAAATGATTAACTACCTCCTACCCAATTGCGTGCTAGACGTTCTCATCTTCCAGTCAAGGATAGACAGTCCTCACTGCTGCCTTTTTTAAGCGACCATTAAAGCGCAGAAATGCACGTACCTGTACTTGTCTGTGGCCAAAGTCCATACTCGTACTCCAGAAAGAGCGGCAATCCTCCACCGATGGCTGATAGCAATGTGATCTATTTGTGTCCATCGTTGGTTTGATGTCGGAAGACACTATGTGAGACACTGCCTCCCCTTGTACTTGAAGTTACTGTTGACCAGAAACAAGTCGTCACAACAAAATTGTAACAGACGATCACCGTTGTCGCTTCGTTGGTATGGGATTCCGAAGATACCGTCGATACCTTTTCGATTGGCTCAGCTCAGCTTCCCTCTTGGGGCGATTGATTCTTCTGGTATTATGACTGTATCTGAACGCTTTACTTTTCTTAGCGAAATTGACAGCTTTTCTTAGAATCCATCTTTAACATCACCCAAACTGCAGTCGACAGGTGCGTAAGCGAGCATTTCGAATAAGGACCAGTGCGTCTCACGATCTTTCCTAAGTTTTACAGTTGCAATCAGTCGAATGGCATACAGACGACTGTTGACTGGAATCAAGTTGAGAAATACTCTTTATACTCTACCACTTATTGCTATACCTACACCATCGAATCTATGAGAGTTAACCATTGGGTCTCCGGAAACTCTTAAGGGGAAATTTGAAGGTTCTCTAGAATGACCAGTTAAGGTCAAGTAAATATCCATACTCGGATTCTGTATATGTCTTAGAGTCACAGCATACATCTTTGGCTGGCGATTCCAGAGTACTGGCGAATAATGCCTGCTGTCTGACTTGGCACGGAGCTTGAACGTTGAAAACTTCAACATGAAATTGATGGCGGGGTCTTAAGAGACTAAGAATGGTATTTTTAAGGCTTTGATCGTTGCTAATGGTCGCAGAGTAAAAGGTTAAGAAGGCTATTAGAGGCAAGAGAGGAGACAAAAACGAAGATGCTATGTTCTGTCTGATTGGGTCTTAAATACTACTAAAAGCGTGTAGTCGGCTAACAGTTCCCCGCTGCTACCGTGGGAGTCTCTTCTGAGAGGTATCTGAATGAGAAGATTTGTGTGGCCGCAAAACCCATAGGATATCTGCTTGAGGTCTGTGACGCAGCCCTTCGAGAAATGTTGGTATGAGATTTGACTATTCTAACACCAGATGGCGAAAACCCATACCACCTTCACCGAAAGACCGTGGGGCAGCATCTGTGGGAAGAACCTTACTTTTGTCACTTCCCCGTCCAGCCAGCAGTATGACTAAGGACTCGCACCTCCATCTTAGTGTAGCAATCAACACTACAATAACAAGTGCTCGCCGTCTTTCTGGTATTGTGGGAGCTCTAGGTAGAAAGCGTTTCATAAGCATCGTTCGTTGGATCAAGATAGCGGCTATCAATCGGAAATAAAAGGCCTAGTGAAATTGTTCTGTGATTCCTTATTTTTAGATACTTTTATCGAACTTTCAAATCATATGTAATTTAGGTTCTTGTTTTTTGTTTCTTTAATCCTGTGGTTGTAATTTATAGATATAGGTTCAACACGATCACATCATCGTGTTACTTTTGCAAACCAGTACAAAATTTTTGTAGTATTATTAAAGTGATGGGTAAACAACATACATTTTTATTTCAAGTAATAAAATCACGTTGGTTAGTTTAGTTTCTATTTTCGGTACTAAAAGATGTCACATTATTATTACTTGTCCCTTGTGTTCCTTGTCGAACATAGGGCTTCAGTAGCACGCCTCCGTTGCACTCTGTTCCCTGCAGTCTTTTCAACCTGGCCCCACAACTACCCACAAGCTTTCATTTCTTCGTCACATGATCTCCTCCATGTCACCCTAGGCTTACGCGCCAAACTCGTCGTTTCCCCTTTGGATTCCACTCGAGGGCCCGGCCTGGCGCGTGGTGTCCCCAATCAGCCTTCTCAGTGTATGCCGAATCCATCTCCACTTTCTTCTGCATATTTGTTAGGCGGTAGGTTCTTGGTTGGTTCGTCAACAGCCAGAGTTCCTTGTTGCTTATTCGTTCTGGCCATCTGATCTTCAGTATCAAGCCAGCGTAGGCGGCAGTTGTTGATGAATGTCTGTAGTTGGTTGGAAATGCCTTTCGTAACGCGCCAAGTCTCTGAACTATATAGGAGCACTGACTTGACATTGTTGTTGAAAATCCGGATCTTGTTCCACATGCTGAGTGCAGAAGATCTCCACACTGGTTTCAGGTTAATGAACGCCTGTCTTGCTTCTCCGATCCTGGCTGCCTTGACGTCCTCGTCTGTGCCACCGCCGCCTGTAGTTGAAACAGTGCTGCCTAGATAGGTGAGAGGCTACTTCGTTTAGATTTCTCCCGTTGATGGTGATTGGAGCTTGTTGTTGATGCTGTTGTTTGTTGGGTATCTTCATCACCTCTGTCTTCTCTACGCCCTCCTGAAGTAAGTTCCGTCTTCGCTGCACTGCCTCTTCCGTCGACTTGTTAGTTTTCGCCTATTGATCTTCGAGTTTGTGTGACATCAGACGTAAATCACCATCGGCGAAATCCAAATCTTCTAGTCTCTTTTCATCGGTCTGGCCAGAGTATGCTCCTCACAGTTTGTTGCCTGATGCAGTCCAGTTTAGTCGACCACAATCAGGAAGATCATCGCTGATGTATAGTAGGCAACCTTGTCTTACTTCTGTCTTCCCTTTGAATGCATCACTGAGCTTTCCAATCAGTCAATCACTTGGCATGTGGCGTCGTCATATAGCTGTTGAGTGAGGTTGATAAAGGTTTGTGACACTCCGTAGTGTTGAAACAGTTTCCAAATTGTTTCTCGGTTGACGCTTTTGAAAGCCTTTTTCAAAGTCGATGAAGTTGAGTTAGAGGGTTGACTGCCATTCTATACTCTGTTCTATGATGATGCGTAGTGTAGCGTTGTAATTTGATCTGCACATGATTTGTACTTCTTGAATCCAGTCGTAATTTTGAATCTAGAGCACTTTTTAGTCTCTCTAGGATGATGCGGTCTAGTATTTTGCTTGGGGTGGACAGGAGTGTGACTCCCCAGTTCTTGCAAAGACTTATGTCACCCTTATTTGGGAGTTTGACAAGGTAGCCCTTCTTCCAATCAACCAGCAGGTACGTTTCCTTCTCTCCTTGCAAACCTTCTGCAATAGTGGTGTGAGCATGTCCGCTGTTGTCTCTGCGTCTGCTCTCAGTGCTTCTAGAGCAATTCCATCTAGTCCTGCTGCTTTCCCACATTTCAATAGCTTTATGCTTTCAGGACATCGACTTTCGTCAGAGGATTTGCGTTCACTTGTAGTTGTGTGGCTTCAGGTGGTATTTCTTTACGAAGTGCCGGTGGTGGTCGATTCAAGAGCTTTTCAAAGTGGTCAGCTCATCGTTTTCTCATCTTTGGTAATTAAATTTCCTTCATCATCTTTTATGGGTTTCGTCTGAGTTGTTCTCTTCCCTCCCAAATGGTAACCTGGTTATTTGATACATGCAGCCTGTTCTCCTTCACTTGCCAATGTGTCGTGGAAGTGTCTTTTGTCTTTGCGCGCACTCTTCTTCACTTCTTTGTCCAGTGTTTTATATATTGTACTCAGTTCCCCTTCTCGTCGTTCATCCTTGCAATGGTTCATCTTCTGCTTCACCATCCTCCTCTCCTCTATCAGCTTCCATGTGTCCATCGAGATCCATTCCTTATCTTCTTACTTCTTCCTTCCTAATATAATTATGCAGGTTTCTTTCCACATAGCTTTCAGAGAGTCCTAG